TGGATCAAATTAAAAATGGAAAATTGAAAACTATGATGGATGAATTTCTTATGGAAAAAGTTTCTCCCAACCTTTGTAATTAGGAAATTCCATTTATCCAATAGCATATAATATGCAACAGGGACTGAACAATGGATGGCATCAAGTGATAATGCTGCTCTGGGTTTCTCAAACAGGTAAATTTTGGAATTTCCACAATTCAACAAAGACCTTCCAATGAACACAAAACGTACAAACATATAACGGATAACAAATATCCTTCACAATATCGACCTAGAGACACTATCTCCTTATTCGCCTCCTTCAATCATACCCTCCGAGCGGTTCAAAGAAAATACTATATTATTTCCACAATGCGACTCACAGTAGAGTTGATCCAGAACTCCCTCTCTTACCTCAACCCACTCAAAGAGCGAGAGCTCGATCTTCGAGGTGCGTATTGAAAAGAACAGATACTACTACAATATGTGAAAACATACACATACTTGATAATGAGCTCAATTGATATCGTATTTGCTTCCTTTCTTCGGGATGGAGTGATATATTAGGCCATAAGATTCCCGCTATTGAGAATATGGGTGCTGCGAAGGTAAGGCGGATGAAGCACATTCCATTCCATTCAGGCTACATATTTTCCACCCCGTCCAAAAAGGATTCAATCCTCTCCCTCTGGCTAACCCATTACGCAGGACCATGACGCCATCGACCTCACCGACAATGACATCTCCTCTATCTCCAACTTCCCTTTCTCCCCGCGCCTCCGAACCTTGCTTCTCGCCCGCAATCGCGTCTCGCATATCAACCCGTCGATAGCTTCCTCGATCCCAAACTTAACAACTCTAGTCCTTACGGCGAATAACGTTGCAGAGCTTGCGGATCTGGAGCCATTGAAACTTTTGACGAAACTAACACATTTATCGCTACTGGAGAATCCTGTGACGAAGAAAGAGGTTAGCTATTTTCTATCTTGGTTCGATTAGCTTTTTTTTTTTTTTTTTTTTTTTTTTTTTTTTTTTTTTCGTTGCGGATGGAGGAGGAGGAAATATATTCCTCCTTGGTTCATTACTTTGCTAACCACGCTACCAACTTCCGGCGAGAGGATTTACAGAATTACCGCTTCTGGGTAATCTTCCTTCTGCCCACAGTACGCTTTCTCGATTACCGAAAAGTCAAGGACGTAGAGCGAAACCGTGCCGCGGATCTTTTTGGCACCCCTTCAAACCCCACCCCTCTAACCTCCAAAATTATGGGCATTAAATCTCGCACTTTCGACCCCTCGACATCATTGCTTAGAACAGGAACAGCACGCGATACATCGTCACAACAAACAGGCGAGCGACCAATTCGCGTTAAACTTACGGAGAAGGAGCGGAAACGAGTGGAGAAAATGATCCGGGAAGCAAAGAGTTTACAGGAAATTACGAAGCTTGAGCGAGAGTTGAATGAAGGGAGGATACCCGGCGGTGCGCTAGCAGATGGTGTTGATGATAATGAAGCAAAAGATAACGACTCTGAGATGGCAATGTAATTTTTTTGGGACAAAAATTAATAATAAACAACATTTGACAATGCTGTGGTTTTTTTTTTTTTTTTTTCGACAAGTTTTCATCTATGTTTCCACCTTTGGAACATAATACATCACGGGCTCACCTCAAATTTTTTGCTGCACGTGCGCAGCATGGATCTTCTCCCCCCGCAATCTCGTTTTATGGTCAGTACATCTTCGTTGAAAACGAATCGATAAAAGACAAAGGGATATCAGTCCTTTTTCTGGGAATTGGAGAGAGGCATTTTTTCATTACTTTTCTATTTACTTAGTTTTTTCTATCGTTGCTCTTCATTGCAATATTTTTCTTTTCTCACCATCAAACACACAATGTCGAGGGCGCCCATAACAAAGAAAATCAAATCAAAGATAACAAACTGAACAAATCCCAAACCCCACCACCACCACCACCAACTCTACTCTGCTCTGCTCTGCCCTGCCCTACCCTACACCACCTCGTATCCCCATTATTCCCATCCCACTTGCCCATACATAAATCGCTCCACTCTCAAAATATACAACCCGTACTCCTCGCCACCCTCTCCACCACCAAACTCGCCCTCCCTTCCGCCCACTCAGCCCTAGAATACCAACACATCATCCCCATATGCTGCGCCTCCATCTCGATGTCCTCAACTGGCCGGACAAGCTGGATAAAGCCGCTCTGGTCAAGTTCATACAGCGCCTCCTTCAGCCACACACGGCACGACGTCTCCTCGCCAAAGCGCTGGGAATATGGGATGACGGGGATCGTGGCCAGGAGGGCATGGAAGTCCGCTTGGAGGAGCGGCTCCACGTTGGAGATCTTCAGGGCGCAGAGCGGGTTGTGTCTGTTTGTGAAGCTGGTGAGGAGGGTGGTTCTGTAGGTCCAGAGCTTTTCGTTGGATGGGTTTGGGTTTGTGAGTTCGAAGAGGGTGCCTGTGGGGTTTGTTGGGGTGATAGCAGTAGCAGTAGTGGTAGTGGTAGTAGTAGTAGTAGTAGTTGTTGTTGTTGTTGTTGTTGTAGTTGTTGATGCTTCTTCGCCTGGGTTGTTTTCTTGTCCTTCTGCTGTTGATGATGTGGGATGGGCGGCGGTGAGAAATAAACCCCAATGGAATCGGTAAGCTTCGCCGCGGCCGAAGAGGAGGATGTAGAGGGAGTATGGTTCTAGAATGAGCGGGTCGGCGGGGGTGGTCATTCTCTTTATCACCTCTTTTTAAAAATTTCCCAGATTTTTTTTTATTTTAATTTTGTTCCCTCTTTTCCGCTTCTCGATATATATATATATATATTATATTGACCCCTTGGGATGGTATGTATATGTAGAAAGAATTTTTTTTTTTTTTTTTATTGAAATAGACAAGATGTACGACGGAACGAATGATTGAAGGGAAGGGGAGGGAAATGAATTCGTTTTCCTCTTTTAATGAAATCCAAAGCCTTTCCAAAGCAAAGGAAAAAAGGAAAAGAAAAGAAAAGAAAAGAACTATTCTGGAAAGCAACGAGGAAAAAAGGAGAGAGAGAAAAAGGCGGTTGGGGGCGGTCGTGTCGGAGGTTTAATAGTTCACCGACGACGGGTCCTAAGGGAAAATGAAGGAGAAAAGGTTATATCCATATTTCGACTTCAAAAAGTTTCCCTTCTTTCTCGGGTTCTTCCGTTATCATCATACACGGGGCGGTTGGAAGTGGAATAATTCGGTGGGCGGGAAAGAAGAGCAAGGGAGAGAGAGTTCTTCTTGCGCAAACCCTCAAAATAGCGGGGTAACTAACTCTCACGATGATTTGGTAATGAGAAATAGGCGCCATTTTTTTTTATTTTTTTTTTATTTTATTATTTTCAAAAAAAAAAAAAAAAAGAGGCGCCAATGGTAGATCGATCGTCCCACAGGTGCGGCGGCTAACTCGCTACAGGGAAAAATAAAAAGAACGATGGATTTCTTTACCCGGACAGTCAAGGCAATGGGCACTTTGCGATGTTATAAAGAACTCCTGTCCGATCAGCCAACCAATCAGAATCTGCAAAAAGCGGGGAGGGTGTTGTGCATATATATCTGCATGAAGCTCTGCATTCTTGATAGCTAGGCAGCGATGTTATTTGGCAGCACGAAGCAGAGAACGGACACATAGTGGCAGTAGTATTTCACCGCTAATCAGATAAACGAAAATATATGATATTTCAACGATGAGAATACGTGCACGTATGATTTTATATCATATTATATGTGAAATATCTAAGAGTATACACAGGGTAGTTTATAGTGTAGTGTACAACAAATAACAGCATCGTAGCCAAAAAAGCCTCCTGTTTGGCAAAGAGAAAATGATAATACACGACCAAACGAAGGAAGACTTCTCAAAGCTCACCATGTAAGAAAACAATCCCACCCCCTCCCAAATAAGAAGAGGGGGGGGGGAAGAAAAATAATGTTTGGTATCTCAAATCCAAAGGGTAAGTTGCCTTAAAAATTAATATTAGATGTCAAAAAAAGTAAAAAAAATCAGTAAAAGTAAAAAGGTCAGTAAGATTCGTAATGCGAATACTCCATCTGATTGTGACTATGCGGCGCAACGTAATGGCTCTGGTATGGATGGTTCTCATACGAAAAGTCCGCAGTAGCCATAAGAGGGTTCACGATTCCCTGAGGCATCCGTGGGCGGGACGGAATTGGGCTGCGTCCACTCGTGTCAGGATTAGAGGAGCCATGATTCAGAAGTGACGAGGGGAGTAAGGATGGCGGTAAGGATGGCCCTGGCGTTGTTGAGACAGTCGGCGGTTGCTGCCCATGTTGTTGCGGGAGGGAGCTATTATTATCATTATCATTATCATCATCATCATCATTATTATGAATATTAATAGTATCATTGTTGTTGTCGTTATTATCATTTTGTCTCCATCCCCACTTCTCCATCAGTTCGATGCGCAAAAAGTCGACCTGCCAACCTGTTTCTTTCACAATTTTTTCGAAAATTCGCAAAACTTCTTCTTGTGCTAGTCGGTTGGTCAGGCATTCCGCGGCAATGGCAAGGCAGCGGATGGAAACGCTGGCGACGCCTCTGTTATATTTGTAAGTAGAGGGACTATTGTCAGCGGTGTTTTTGCATGAAGTAAAGGAACACGTACCTGTCTTTCACATGTGCCACAATTCCGCAAATATCATGGGCATGGCTCTGTTGCATCGCCGTCATATTCTCGGTTTCCGTGGGGTGAATCCCTGCAAGCAGGCAACAGGCTGTGTGATAAAAAAGCCTGCCTACAATAGCTGTACGCTGAATAAGCCTGGGAAGGGGCGGACTTGTTAGTGTAAAGGCCAGAATTCAACAAAGATGCTAAATACTTACCAGACCTCCGGGAATGATGACTTCGAACGTGTTTGCCAAGGCTGCACGTAACCAAGCGGCATCATTGAGCGCGGTACGCATCTTGCCCACTCGTCACACCATTCCTTATACGTATTCCATTCCTGGATTCGCTCGTTCAATCGCATATCATGCGCTGTCGGATCAGGGTTCCGGAAATGCGGAATCGTTGATCGGAAATTAGCAATTTTTGCACAGATATACACCATCCGATGGGTCCATAGCTCTTCATTGCCTGTGATATTATTCTCCGGCGGTGACATGTTCATATTTATATCCCATGTATCTGGGTCCCAAGCCATTGTCCAGTTGAAATGGAGGCAACTCAACAACTCCATGGCAACATTAAGCCAGAAGCAAGCGCCTCCTATTCCGATGCTTGTGGCATCCCATTGGCACTCCTTAATGAGAGCGCGGGCGCCCGCGATATGGTTCATTCGCTGCATCGCATTTTCACACATTATTTCGTAAACATTAAGAGCTACTGCCGTCGTAGCACATAATACTGTATCACGGTTGGGATCTTGTAAACAGGAAAGGAGATCACGCGTTGAAGTGTTGTAATAATACAATGCCTTGTCTTCGCTGTATGATGGATTGACCAAAAACAAGTGCCGCGCGCCACATGCCATAAACGCGTTTAAAAGCATGGGCTCTCCAAGAGCGTGGTATGGTAAAATATGAGAAAACTGAGCGTAAATTAGTAGGCGTATTCATCAGCATTATGGAGGGAAGGAAATGGAGAGAGATAATCTACATGTTTTATCGAATCCATCGAGTCCATCCACAGCCCAATTTCCTCCACAAAAACCTGCATGAGCAAAACTTCCTCTGGGCTCTCCAGACAATGCTTAATACTGCCGGAAGGTATCAAATGGCATTTCGGAGAATTAAATGGAGAATTCCGGAGTGCATGGTCGGAAAATGCTCGGCCTGTATGGTGGTGCGCTCGTGGAGTGTGCTCAAAAACAGGCTCACTGATATCCGGTTGTTGCGACTCGGGATAGTGAGAAAGGAGAGGAGTAGCGTCTGGGATGCTCTGATGCGAAAGGGATGGGCCACCCATGATATCAGGCAAATCGTACGAGGGCAGGTCAGCTGTAGGCTCTCGGGGAGGAGTATCTTTCTTTACGCGAGGATATCTCTCAAAGCCTCCTCGATATTCTGAAGCAATCTGACGAGATTCGTCCTGAAAGTGACTGCCAATCATGGGC